GTACCAGACCGGGACCGGCAACGGGATTGCAACCCTCAGTGTTGCCCCCGCACCTCGCTCAGCCAGTGAGCGGCCGGTCTGTATGTGGGATCCGAACCCTTGGCGGGAGCGCCGCCACGCTTCCCAAGCGGCGCACTATAGCAGTGCGCCACCGGGCTGGCCCTAAAAATTTCCTTCTTTTTAATGGCCAGCATAATGGTTTGAATGCTGCCTTCTGCCAGTTCTGACTTCCCAATAAGAATGTGGGGGAAAAAAGACACCTAAAAATGGCCCTATAATCAGTGGTGTTCTGGTAAATTCTTAATGATCAGCTCTATGATAGAAACAAATCCTGAGACATTTCCTGATTTCCATGCTCCTATGATGTCCAACTTCAGACTACCAACACGGTGTCACTGAATGAGGATTTGGGAAGAAATGTCTTAGCACACCACTGATAGAGTGAACTATTTGTTCCCTAAATTTGGATATAACATTTTACATATTTTACAGAATGCTTTTTCTTCACACCTGAACCTTTGAAGGTAACTTAAAGGTCTAAAATAAAATATGAATTTCTGTTTAGAATAATTCACACCAAAAACTAAAACAAAGCACTGATTTTTTTTCTTAAGAACGTGAGATTTATTTTATATAAGGTATATACAAAAGATTAATTTGTAATGTCTTATTAACAAGATAATCAATTTACAAGATAGAACATGGAAAATTTGGGGCATTCTAGGAAATTCCTTGGGAGTCTGGATAATAGTATCACTTCTTCTCGAAGCCTTTCCTGGATTCCCCTCTCTAACGTACCTTCAGTAAAATTAACCATTCCCTCTTTTGTGCTTCTATGTAGTCTATTCAGACTTCTATAGTGGTCCTATATCATTGCTTGTTTTCCCCCAGTTACTAAACTGTTAGCTAAGACCAGAAACTATGCATTATTCAGGTTATATCCCCAGCACTTAGTAAAGTATCTGACACATAGTAGGTACTTAATTAATATTGGTCCAATAAATTAAATATTAAAATAAACTCACATTTGGGTGAAAATTAAAGGCAACAATAGAAAACAAACCTAAAGAGATACTTACCATTTTATTCTGAAAAATTTTTCCACTTCTTGTTTTGCTTTCAGACACATCAAGTTCAGATGTTTTACTGACTAACTGCTCAACCTAGAAAAGGAAATAATTACACAAAACCATACAATCTAATAAAATCCTTTCATAATGTAATTAAACATAAAATTCAGGGTCTTGTTACGTTAAGTTAATGAAAACCAGTAATTTTGAGTTGGTTCATACTGTCACAAAATGCACGAAAGTGAAGATAGTGAAACTGACATTGTACACAATTGACCATTCACTAAACTGAGAAAGTCCCAAATGATCACAAGGCACTACCCTTCCAGAAGATAAGAACTTTAGTCCACTCACATTTGAGAAAGGGGCTGGGCAGAGAAAGGTGGACAATCAATCTTCAATCCCATTATTTCCAAGTTCATATTATCTAAGTCTGTTATGTCAGAATTTTACCATATATGGAAAACAAAATTAAACATGTTCTGCTCCATGGCAACAAAAATCTATTATTTACTCTATTTGTAAATACAAAGCAGCATGGAGTAAATAATTGCATAAGAGTCTATCTAGATCTGAAATTCTGAGATTCTACAAATAGTATTTAGTTTTATTACTAAACAAATCCAACAATAATATACTCAAAACATACAATTACCAGATTTTGTTAATAATAATAACTCTAAATACCTAGGTTTATTCTAAAAGATCTAGAACAAGAAAATCTGAGAAATAACTAAGTAAGCATATAAGCAACCATCTTTTGAAAAAACAAAAGAGAGATGGAACTATAAGGTTTCTACCTGAGAATGAGAAATTGAAAGATCTAGACTCTCTTTAGACCTCATCATTTCATCTTCCTCACAAACTAAAGTTGGTTCTGTAAAAAAAACAACAGAGAAGTTAAAACAGTATAAAACTGAACTGTACGTGAGTTAATCTACATTTTCATTAACTTCTTACCTCCAAGTTCAGAAGATCCAGGGTTTTTTTTCTGCTCTTCCATTTTAGTTTCAATGTCAAAATCATCCTGCATAATTATGTAAGGAAGAAAAATTGGACACATTTCAAAAAGAAATTAAAACAATTGGGTGGCAGTATTTATGAACAAGTTTGTTTTACGTGAAGGCTAAATATAATATAAAACTACAACTACCTTATGCTTGCTAGAAATAAAAACAGTTCTAGAATTATTATCATAAGGCAACTTATTTATCCAAAGTATAAAATACTATTTTTCTTTACTTTGCAGGGTTGCTCTAAGGACAAATGATAAAAATATACAACTTTCTCTACAAATACATGATAATTCTAAGAATCCTTAGATCTTCCTATTGTTTGAGGGCACTAAATTAGACATATGTGTTCACACAAGCTATCACTTCTTTTTTTTCTTTTCTTTTTTTTTTTTTACAAAAGATGACTGGTAAGGGGATCCCAACCCTTGACTAGGTATTGTCAGCATCACGCTCTCCCAAGTGAGCCAACCAGCCATCCCTATATAGGGATCTGAACCCATGCCCTTGGTGTCATCAGCATCACACACTCCCAAGTGAGCCATAGGCCAGCCCTCAACCTACCACTTCTACAGCTCTGAAATTTCCTTTTTCTTTTTTCCTTTTTGTCTTTTTTCGTGACCGGTAACGGGATCGCAACCCTCGGTGTTGCGCCCGTACCGCGACCGGCAACGGGATCGCAACCCTCGGTGTCGCGCACGCACCACGCTCAACCAGTGAGTGGACCGGTCTCTATAAGGGATCGAACCCTTGGTGGGAGGGTCGCCACGCTCCCAAGCGCTGCACTCTCCCGAGTGCGCCACCGGGCCGGCCCTACAGCTCTGGAATTTCTGTACAAATGTTAGAAACACCTATTTTCCATTCGTTCTTTTTCAGTGGTCACTTTTACTTTGAAGGTGTGAAAAGGTGTTGGGACTTCTCCCACATTTAAGTACATAGGCTCTCCTTCAAATATTACTCCTTCACAATCACCATCCTTAAAACCAGGAGGCTGGTAATCTGGGGGTGTAACTGCAAAAAAGTAAGTATAAACTGTGCTGTACATGAAATTGAAGAAAATATTATTATTATTATTATAAAAATACATGCAGATTCAATAAATTTCAAATAGTATAGAAGAGCATAAAATAAAAAGTAAAAATCCTTCTACTATTTCCAAGTCCTCATTTTATTTTACTTGGAGGTATCCTTTGTTTTCTTCACTTGACTGGCTGTATGACCTTGAGCAAATTATTTATCATCCCTGATTTGGTTTCCTCATCTGCAAAATGGGGAAAATAATAGTACCTATTTCACAGAGTCATTTCTGGATATTAAAATGAATTAAAGTGTTATAAAATTTTCAGAACAACACTAGCATATAATGAGTATTTCAAAAATGTTAGCTGCTGTTGTTGCTTTATGTTCTTGAAGACATTATGTATGTAATAAAATATATAATATTTAATATTTATATAGGCTTTAGGAAATATATATATATAATATATTATAATATATAATATATATATGATATATATATATAATATCACCTCTAAAAACATAAATGAGATCATACCGTTCTTTACCTAGTTGGGTTTTTTTTTTTCCTTTTTATCTTTTTTACTAACCAGTAACGGGATCGCAACCCTCAGTGTCACGCCCGTACCAGGGACCGGCAGCGGGATCGCAACCCTCAGTGTTGCACCCGCACCACGCTCAACCAGTGAGCGGGAACCAGTCTCCACATGGGATCCAAACCCTTGGCGGGAGCGCCGCCGCGCTCCCAAGCGGCACACTCTCCAGTGCGCCACCGGGCCAGCCCTACCTAGTTGTTTTTAACTTAATAATATCTCTTTAAATCATAAAAAAATATATATCTCTCGGATAACTTAGCACATTCTTTTAACAGCTTGCACAGTACTCTATATTATACAGATGCACTATAATTTATTTATTCAAGCCCCAATTAAGGACACTCAAGTTTTTTCCAGTTTGTTCCTATTTTAGCCAATGCTATAATGAAAATCCTTATAAATATGTAACTTTGCATATTTGTGCAACTATGTTCTCAAGATATTTTTCTAGCTATAGAATTTCTGGCTTAAAGAGAATGTACATTTAAAACTTTGATACTGACAAACTGTCCTCTAAAAATGTTGCACCTATATACATTCCCTCAAGAATGTATAAAAGCGGCTGCTTCCCCACACCCTTCCTAATAGTGGGTTTATAAGTTTACCAATCTCATAAGTGAGAACTGGTATCTCACTGTTTCATTTAATTATAAGTGAGGTTATACTTCACATGGGTATGTTCCTATCACTAGAAAAGTGTATATTTTAAATCCCATTTTTGCAAATCCTTCTTTTTCAAATATTGATATTAAATGTAAATTTTATAATTTCAAAATAAATATAACAATTTAGGTGCTAAAACATTTGGAATGAAAACCAATTGTTTCAATAATAATAAAACATGCAAGAAACAACTGAAACATGTATGTATTACAAATAGTACCTTCATCATAGTAAAAAAGTTTCATGGTCAAACAAACATCATTAGGTAAAGGTCCCAGATTTTGCATTAGAATATAAATCTTGCGAATGAGGAGAATACTCGCTTTCTTGGTGTCAGCAGATGACATGCTAGATTCATTGCTCTGGTTTTTACTGGAAGAGAATCACGTATTAATTTCTTTTATAAAACCTGTGGCCATAACTTCACATTCTAACTATTTAAATTTCTTATTCCTATTATAGCATTAAGTTGTTAAGTTGAAAGTTACTATAAAATGTGTTTTAATGTCATTATTATAAAAAGCTTAACTAATAATTTACATAAATTGAATTAATATGTATTTTATATAAGGTGTTTAAAGAAAACAAATGATAGATTTTAATTATATTTCTAATCACTCAGTTCTCTTTCTACAATTAAAAAACTATATAATTAGCCAAAGAATCCTGGCTTGAAGCTACTCCAAACCACCATTCCATTTTGCACAGCTACATTTTGATGGTTAATTGGGGATGTTTGAAGTTTCAAATTAATCCTGAAGTTTAACTACAGAGTATTAATACGAATAAGTGGTAACTTGTAATACAAAAAGAAAACTATAGAACAATACCTTATGAAGTCCATGATTGGTCCACCATCGGTGTACTTGAATTTAAATTGGTAACATTCTGAAATTGTCTTAAATAGAAAATATTGCAGTTATGTATCTATATACAGTACCGGCTGCCAGATAGCTCTATATTGCTTTTGTACAACTCTTAACATTCAGTCAGTACTTTTTTTGTCATGTTAATCCCTATTGGTCCAATGAAACTTTCAAGTCCTCATAGTCTATTCCCATGGACTTGGATTTGGAGCTTCAGTTTTGGAGAGATATTTATTCCCCCCTCATTGCAATGTATGTTATGTATACTAGATGGAAGGAACTCCTTAGCTTGCAGATAAAAAAGTCACCATTCCTCAGCTGAGTGTCTGAGCACAGGGCTTAAATCTTTTCTATATTGTAACTACAGGCAAGCCATTTTAAGCCTTCTATGTTTCAGTTTCTCTAGCTAAAAAAAGAGGTTGAAAACAGTATCTATTTCATTGGTGGTTGTGAATATTTACCAAATGGGATAAATTAAACAGAGTACTTTAAAAAGTTCCTGACATGCAGTAAACATTCAATAAATATTAGTACATTGGCAAGGTTGTTCATTTACTTATAGAAAAAATGCCCAACTGTAAACGTATAAAACTAAATGAACATTTTCAGAACAATCAGTTTTTTGAACAATCAACTAATTCATAGCCTTTGTCCAAATGATCTGCTTTGTCACCATGGACATACTTGTATATTAAGCATAAATTGTAGGTGTAGGTATTGGGAAAAAAGAGACATTCTCAGCCCTCCTGAAGCTCAAATACTTTTATTACTTTTTTACATTTCAGTGCTCACATAGGGATATGGATCAGAGCTCTCTCCATGTTTTTTAAATTGGTTTAAATCTGCTTCTCCATGACTGAGTGAAACATTATATTGCAACAGCTGTAGTGTAATGACAGAGCACCAAGATTATGAACTGGCTTTACTAGGTTCAAATACTTGTTCTGCCAGTTCTGCCACTGTAACCTTAGGCAAGAAACCTGTACCTAGATTTCTCAATCTGTAAAGTAGGAATGATAATGGAAGTTTCCCCATGAAGGTTTTGGGTTTTTTTTTTTTTTTTTTTTAAAGATGACCGGTAAGGGGATCTTAACCCTTGACTTGGTGTTGTCAGCACCACGCTCAGCCAGTGAGCGAACCGGCCATCCCTATGTGGGATCCGAACCCGTGGCCTTGGTGTTATCAGCACCACACTCTCCCGAGTGAGCCACGGGCCGGCCCCCGGTTTTGGGGGTTTTTGTGTTTTTTTGTTTGGTTTTTGGGGCAGCTGGCCAGTCCAAGGATCTGAACCCATGACCTTGGTATTATAAGGCTGTTCTCTAACCAACTGAGCTAACCGGCCAACCCCAACCTCATGAAGTTTGTGATGAGTAAATGACATAATGCACATAAAGCCCCAAAGAACAAAGCCTAATATAGAAAAAGCACTCAATAGATCTTTCCCTATTATTTCCTGTCTTTGGTTTTCCCTTTCTTTTCTTGTCCTCCCTTCTCCCCTTTAATTGTCAGATGAACAGGAGGATGTGGCTGGATTGGGATGAATGTTCAAAGGATGAGTTTCTTATTTTCCTCAAACTCCAAGCCCTTTCATAATTCTAGACAAAGAATATTGTAAAAAAAAAAAAAAAAACAGAAGTCAGGAGATTTAGGTTATTTCTAACAGCTTGTAAGCTTTGTGGCCTAGATCATCCACATAATCTCTCTTGTAATAAGTGTATTAAGCTGTTTAAAGACAACAGTACAAGCCCTGCCTTACCTCAGAAGAGTTTTATGAAGTTCAAATGTGAAAAAAAAAAAAATGAAAGTGCACTGACTGATTAAAGCGCAATTAAAAGCATAAGATATTATACTATAGTTTTATGTTATTTTTAGGTATTAGAGGCATTATGTTTCTTTACTAATTTAAGCACACTTACCTGAGGGTCTTCTGGATTGGTGTATACCTATTTAAAAATAATTTATAATTGAGTTATCTAAGACTAAGTATTCAAGAAGAATTAAATTGGATGTTTAGACTAAACTAATAAGTGAACTCAGCAAAACAAAATGACCTCCCAAAATATTAGTTTATTAACTTTTTCCCCATTGAATAGATCAGCTGTTTGAATAAAGTATCATAATTGTTTTAGTATAATTCAATAAAGCAAGGCCAAATTTGACAGTCTTTAAAAAAAGAACGTATAATTTAAAAATACTTACAGCTAGAACAACCATCCTTAGCTGAAATACAAGGAACAAAAATCTTAATTGTCTTCTTTAAAATATCAAAGAACAAAAATCTTAATTGTCTTCTTTTTCTTTGTCCTATTTCAACATGTAATCCTAATAACAAATAATCATTGCAGAAGACAGAACTTCTTTCAAGCCTTTAAGTCTTAGATATGTTTCCCTTCCCCAAAATATCTATCTCTATTTGACTTACTCATGGCTGAAATTCATGTCATCATTTTATTTTTTATTTATTTTATTTTTTAAAAGATGACCGGTAAGATCTTAACCCTTGACTTGGTGCTGTCAGCACCACGCTCACCCAGTGAGCTAACCGGCCATCCCTATTTGGGATCTGAACCTGTGGCCTTGGTGTTATCAGCACCACACTCTCCCAAGTGAGCCACAGGCCAGCCCCAGTCATCACTTTATTTTATTGCCTTAAGCAAACAGGACATTACTTCAGGTTACAAGGAAAATATATACTGTGAAGTAACACATTAAACCTTACCAATATGAGAACTGATTTTGAAAAGAGAAAAAGTAGACAGTTCGGGGTCCCATGCATTTAATAAAGGAAGGAGGCTTAGGAGACCATAGAAACAGAAAATTACAGGAAATCACTCAAGCAAGTGATCTGCCAAAAATCTAAGAATCGTTCTTGATTCTGATCTTTTCCTCATACTCTACAACTAATCCATCCATCCACAAATCCAATCAGTTCTACCACCAAATCTATCCTGAATCTCCTCCCCTGCTATCCTGGTCTAAGCCAGCATTATTTCTCAATAGTACTACAGTAATGGCCTAAGTGCTATTCTCCTTACTCTCAGTCTTATTCTTCTGTAGCAGGCAGAGTGATTTTTTAAATTTTTATTTATTTTTTTAAAGATGACCGGTAAGGGGATCTTAACCCTTGACTTGGTGTTGTCAGCACCATGCTCTGCCAAGTGAGCCAACCTGCCATCCGTATATAGGGATCTAAACCCGTGGCCTTGGTGTTATCAGCACCACACTCTCCCAAATGAGCCACGGGCCAGCCCCTGATTTTTTAAATTTTTAAATGTAAATCAAATGATATTACATTTCTACTTAAAACCTTCAAATGGCTCTTCTTTGCACCCAGAATAGAACCCGAACTCCTTACCTACACAGCACTGAATGATCTGGCTCTGTCAATCTCCCCACGCTCATCTCAAACCATTTTCCCGTACCACAAAATTGCATTCTGGTCACACTGGCTTTCCTTTTGTTCTTGGAACTCTCCAAATTCCCGTCCAACTCTTTGTATTTGCTGCTCTGCCAGGAATATTCTTTTCCAAAATCAATACCTGGCTGGCTTCTTCTCATTCAGGTATCAGCTTAAATGCCACTTCCTCAGAGAAGTTCCTCTGACCATATGGTCTAAATTTACCCCATCTCTCCATTTACCAAATACCCTTCCTAAAAATTTTAATGAAATTTAATGCTATTGGAAAGTATCTGATTTACTTGTTTATTGGCTGTTTCCGACTATAGAAGGAACCCTCTTTGTTTTGTTGACCACTGCTAGCTTACCCAGCTCCTACCTAGAAAATGTGCCTAGCACATAGCAGGCACTCAATATTTTCTATGCCTTAATGAGGAATGTTAGGCCATGGATAAAAATTCACCTTCTTTACAATTTTGCCTAGAGCTGGACTTTATACATAAAATTATGCTAAGAATGGAAAAAAAAGGCTTGTAGTCTATCATAAAACCATCTTAATTAAAATTTCACTAATTCAAAATTTGTGACAATTTAACATAGACTATATAAAAATTTAATTTTGAACCCTAATTAAGAAATAATTTATTAGATTATTAGTATAAGAAAGATTATAGAAGGCATGTGAAACTAATAAAGTATTTTTTCTTTTTTAAAGATGACCGGTAGGGGGATCTTAACCCTCGATTTGGTGTTGTCAGTACCATGCTCTCCAAAGTGAGCCACAGGCCGGCCCTATGAATGAAGTATTTTAAAGGACTTTTTAATTCATTAATTTTTTGTAAGTTAATATGAGTTATTAACACAAATGAGTGTTAATTAACCAAAACTAACTTGAAAATTTTATTTAGTATTAATTTCATTAGCTTTAAATGAGGAAAAGATAAGTCTTTAAAATATTCAAATGTTCATTCAGAGTTTTAATTAACTCATATTGGCCTATGTCTAAGTTAATTTAAATCAATGATTTACCATGTGGTAATTGTTGTTAGATTTGTAGAATATAAACTATAGAAAAAAAGAATAAAGAAATATTGAAAGACTTACATATTTTTTCTGTAAAGCATCATAACATCCTAGCATCCTAAAAAAAAATCAAGAATTCTTTTTTAGATTAAATGCATTTCCAGAAAATAGTTCTTTATAAATCTCCATATTACCTCATTACTATATAACACAAAAATTTCTTATTAAAGCTCTCTTCTTATTAACTAGCTTAAAACAAAACATAAAAGAACAATGTGGCAGAAATATAAAATGATGATAGTAGATGAAAGAAAAAATATAAAATATCTGACAGCTATTTGTGGAGACCAATAATAGGAAAATGAAGCCTGCTCATATGGAGCATGAAATAAAGGACAATTTTAACACAAAAATTCAATGACTTGCAAAAATGGTATCCAGTAGTAAACGGCAAATCACTTAGATCTGGTTAAACACTGGAAAGTATTCGAGGTACAAAAAAATGTGATTTAAGAAAAAAAATTTTTTCTATCTTTAGGTATTCTTTTACTTACCATTTTACTAACTGTGTAGATCCTGGACAATTTTTATCTTCTCTCAGAATTTTGACACAAAGATCTAAACACAAATATGATAAAATAAATACAGAGTTACTTAAGAACAGTAAACAATTAGAAATTTTAAATGAAGGATATTTTCTTCACCTGTCTATTACAGGTATATTAATAATGGCAATGAACTTCCAGATGATTGTTATTATTAAAGGAATTAAAGGAGAAAAGTTTATATAATAGTCTTTATCATTATCATAAAATGCTATCATAATGATTAGAATGCAAGTTGATAGTAGAAAAAATTTTCATTCTTAAAAATTATAGAATACATAAAATTAGATATAATGCTTTCATGCCATCATTATCCAAGAGTCTTAGAATATTTGCTATGGAACCTTATCCCAGTAAAATACTTGGGATATTGTAAAAGATGTTAACTGGCTATCAAAGACAAAAACGTTGCAAAGAAGCAATATGTAACAAAGTGGAAAGGACTGAGAGCATCTCTCAGCCTCAGGTTCCTTATTTGAAAAAGAGGGATAGTACCTATGAGTTAACAAGATATCATACATAACATAGTGCTAACCAAATTGCCCAGTATAGTCGGTGCACAATATTATACATATATTATATTCTAGGAAAAAAATTTTATTATAGTATAAACTGGCGGTATTATTTTTACTTCCCTGAAATAGCACAAGAACATAACATAACAGTGTTTTTATCGATATACTCTGTCATTATAAGCATAATGTCAGGTGAAATCATACTTGAGAAACTGAGGAAAACTTTTATAATTAAATGCTTTCAAAGGTATTGAATATACTTTTAAAAATACTAGATGTCCAACCAAAACCTGTACATGAACATGGCATTACTCATGGTAGTCAAAAAGAGGAAACAACCTAATGTTCATCAACTGATGAATGGATAAAGTACGATACAGCCATACATTGAAACATTATTCAGCAATGAAAAGGAATGAAGTACTAATTCATGCTACAACATGGAAGAACCTTGAAAACACTATGGTAAGTCAAAGAAGCCAGTCACAAAGGACCACATATTGTATGATTCCATTTCTATGATATGTCCACAGAACAGGTAAAGCCACAGAGACAGAAAGTAGATTTGCGGTTTCCTGCAACTGGCAAGGTTTGGGGTAAGTAGATAGAGAATGGGTATGGGGTGTCTTTTTGGGGTGATGAAAATGTTCTAAAATCGACTGTGGTGATGGTTGCACAACTCCGTGAATATATTAAAAATCACTGAATTGTGTACTTTTGAGTGAATTGTCAGATATGTGAATTATATTAATAAAGCTGCTGTTAAAAAAGAAAATTTCTAAGTCAAAAATTACAGTTTTAGAGCAAGGCAAAAATATTTATTTATTTTTTGCGGCTGGCTGGTAAGGGAATCCAAACTGACCTTGGTGTTACCAGCACCCTACTCTCCTAAGTGAGCTAATCAGCCAGCCCTCCAGAGCAAGCCTAAACAAAAATAACTTTATAAAAGAAAGTTTTAAATATTATATTACCATCTAGATATCTTGTTCCATAAGCACATTCTGGAAATATTCCTCTCAAATATGTGATGCAGGATACTGAAACTGCTAGAAGCCTCTTCACTAACACCAAAGATTGCTGCTCAGTTGATATCTTATTGGGAAATACCAATGCACTCTAAAATTCAAGGGAAATTAAAACAATTTAGAGTTATTAAAAATAGTTTCTCTGGACTTAAAGTAGATCCAATTTTGCATAAGCCTGGTACTCTTCTGAAGAATTCCTCCCCATATTGGTTAGTAATCCCCAGGGAGTCAGGATAGCTTCAAAGATGTGAGGGTGTTTCTAAGGTAAATGCCTAAAGCTAATGTGCAACAAGTGCTTAAGAAAGACTCTCCTTGCAGATAACTGTCTGTAAATGCACAATACATGGATTGATAACATGGACTTTTCTCTTTAATTACTGACTAGGTTTAATACAGATTAACTGCAATGCAAGATCCTATGCAAAGATGATAATTTTGTCTTTGTCTCTGGGTCACCAACATTCATTTTCTACAGGTAGATGACTATGAACAATAATTTCATCAAAGCAACAAAACAGCATTAATTAATACCTAATGTAAATTAAATTTGAGCCAGCAATTTAATGCAATGGATCAAACATCCAGTATAATTCTCCATTAATTCAAAATAATTTAGCAAATATCTTCATTTCTTAAAATATGGGAGTTTCCTGGTATGATTAAAGTCTCAAACAGCTGAGTTTAACTTTCAATTATAAAAACGAAGTAGTTGAGACTTCAAGAAACACTAAAATCAGCTAACTTAAAATATACAAAAATATAAGAAATCATACCATGGAAGTCCGCTGCAACTGTGCAGTGGCCATCTTCTTCTACTAAAGTATGTTCTTTAATTCAACCTTGTGATAACAGATAAAAGCTTTAACGTCAGATGTCATTTTTATCTCTAACATTCTAGCTTACTATGTACAAAGTTGGAAAGAATTTTATGTGACTAATTTTAAGATTTCTTCACTTAAAATGGAATCTTCAAAAACCTAGAGGTCCACATTGCTGTATAACTATTTTGAGTACGGTCCTAATTTTAAGCCATTTGACCAGCAAATCTCACATAAATGGGTTATTAAGAAACTCTTCAGAAGAACTTTTTAAGACGGCACAATCTTCCCATTTTTCTCCATCCAGCATTGACAACATTGCACAGGTAGGTTTTAGGTAATGAAAAAAGTGCCCCTAGCAAATACTTTTAAATCGTTTAATTTTTTTTTAAAAATTGAAGTTTCAAAATAACCGAGTCAGGTAACTTTCCTTGACTGAACTTTAGCATGGCTCTGGGTATAAATACTGTATACTCTATGGAACAGCCATAAATGGGCAACAGAAAATATTCTAGATTTTTGTGACCGATTCTAATTTCTTAATTATAATCTTGGTACACTGACGTAAGTTTCAATTTTTTGGTACCAATTTCACTTTAATCATACAATTCAACTAGAAGAACTCTCCAAATAGTCAAACTTCATAGAAGAGTCTGTAAACGATTAAATTTATCCTGATAAAGCCTATACTAGCCGCCAGTGTTAACCCTATCTGAAGAATCACTTGTGAAAAGTAAGTATACATTTTCCCCCAAACATTTCGCCATTAAGACCCTAAGAACTTAAAAGCAGGCGTGAGCTACAGAAAAAAGGTCCGAAAAAGAGATTAAAAAGTCCAAAAAAACCAACAAACCCACAAATATATTACGTAACATCTGAGGGGCTCACGCCGGAGACGAGAAGAGCTGCACTTTCTGGCACGAGCTTTGCCTGACGCGCATGCGCCTTCCTTCAACGGTCGCCCGCGGAAGCACGACAGTGGCCTTTTGACCCCCGGTCGAGATCACCTTTCCCGCCAAGAGCAGCGCAAGGCGCGCCGGGAACCCCAGATGCGGGAAGATTACAGCGCCATGTCTCAGAGAAAAAGCAGAGGGTCAATAGGGGAAGGTTAAGTAAGTGCATGTGCAAAGCCTTCCTGCAGTGATCAAAGTGTTCTCAGCCGCCATTTAATTCATCATATTAAATTCTGATTGTTTTCTGACTTTTGATTTTGTTATTGGATCTACCACATATTGTGTTCCCGCCTTTCAGTCTCCTGTGTTTTCAGGAAACCAGTTACTCTAGCAGTCTCCTACTTAGTAATACTACTGTTATGTCTGTGGGGACAATGGATAACTTTGAAAGTAATTTATGTCTCATTTAGAAACAAAATAATAAAATCAGAGCAGTAGATAGTTGAGATTATCCAGTAGTACAATATTCTTAGTTTACAAATTGTTACATATCCAAGTAAGTTATGTTAGTAGTGTAACATATAATTATTCATAAACCTTGATATATCTTCATTATGGGCAAGGAAACAGCCACCCCAAATATGAAAAGATTTGCCTGAAGTCATTCAATTAGGAGAGGAATGAAGACTAGAACCCTGTTTTCAAGATCAAAAATAGTCAAAATCTTGGTCTAATAATTATTTTGCTTTATCTTTTTCTCACATTTAAAGTTTACAAAGGGCTTTCCCATTCACTATCTTTTTATTACTTTGCTTCGTACAAGAACCTTGTGAGGAAGACACAGGTATTATCCCAATTTTAGAAATGAGAAAACAGACTAGGGCAATTATCTGTATTGATGTAGACAGTTACAACTCGATGTAAGTGTATGAAAAAAAGGCACTGGATTTAAGGAGAAAGTCAAAAGTGGAGAAACTTTATTTATGTTTTTTTCCCAACATTTTATGTCTTCAATAACATACACAGTGGTTACCAGCCATATTCATAACAAAGATTATTCATAAAATATATCTAAAAATAACATTTTTTTCCTTTTCAGTGTGAAAAGCTACAGAATGTCCCAGTGAGAGTGGTGGGTTGAGGGGAATAAAGAGGTTGGAATAGGGGGACCTTGGCTTCCCCACAGTCCAAGCCCCCAAACATCCTCTCTCTACCTGGGACCCAGCACAATCCCTCATTAGGAAGAGGGATCAGAGGATCTGTCTGACCCTGGGGCTGGGACAAAGGAGAAACAATTTCGATGGGAAGGTGGGTCATGGAAGGCCTCTCTGGGGAAATGACATTTAAGTTACAACCAGAAGGATGAGTAACACACACACACACAAACACACACACACACAGAGGCAGGAGTATTATGGGCAGAGAGAAAAACACTTGCAAAGGCCCTAAAGAAGGAAGTACTTCAAAAATTGAAGCAAGGCCAGTGTTGCTACACCATAGCAAATGTGGAAAACAGTGGCTTCAGATGAGATAGGAAAGCCAGTGTATGTTGAACTTAATAGTCAATGTTAATTAAAGCATTGTATTTTGTTTTAGTTATGATGGGAGTTATTGAAAGGTTGCAACTGGGAGGGGTATTATCTAATTCATATTTTTAAAAGATCATTCTGGCTGTTGGTTGGGGAATGAATTGAAGGTTGGTTGTGGAATTGGTTCATTAGCAAAGATACATTGATTCATCTTGAGTAGTTATGTACTTTGAGGATTGCTTTATTATCATTTTTAAAGATAGCCATGTTCAGATTTATAGTCTTTCTGGTAATTAGAGTGTGCATACCTGAAGCATCATCAAGATTCTTATCCAGAAGAGAAGAGTAAGAAAAGAATAATTTATTCAAAGAAATAATGTCTCTGTTGTCATTTTCTTGCGAGTCCAGTGGAATCCTAGTTCTGGAATATTTAAATCTCATTTCTTTACCTTTATTATGCACTTATAAGTCTTGTCAACTTTTACTCTATGATGGTTCCTAGATTTGCTCTGGGTTTTTTTTTTTTTTCCTTCTGTTTTCACAGGGTGTAGGGAGAGTTTCCTCCTGTTTATTTTCTTTAAATCATCGTACATATAGGTTCCAGAATAAGTTTTTCTTAATTTTCTTTTTAGAAATAGACTTGATTTCTACAAGTTTGAAATTACTTATTGCTAAAAATTTCCCCTTATGTTGGGTCTACAATGAAGATTTTAGTTAAATATTTCATTACTCATTTAGTTCAGGCATTCTTTACCTGGGATTCACAACTCCCAAAGCCTTCGCGGATAGAATTCAGAAAATTTGTAAATTTGTATGGAGGAAAAATTTACATTTTTATTTTCACTAATGTAGGGGAGGAAAAATATCTCCTTCTACCCATCTTAAGTCCATAGCTGAGGCCCCTATAACACAAGACAAATTAACAAAAGTATACAAATTCATTTAGTATAAGTTTTACATGACATGGGAGCCTTCATAAGGAAATGAGGATTTGAAGAAACAGTTAAACCTGTTTTTTTGTTTTTTTTT